TACAGTTACATCGATACTTTAAAGAAAGCCACTCACAGTATATGCCACTCAATGCCTCGGACTTGATCTTTCCCCGTTATCGATACAGCCAGGGCGTGTTCGTAGCTGTGCCCATGGGCTTGGTGGGACCGGCACAGTCCTGAGATTCTCTCTGCATCGCTCCCGAAAGCCGCTGCGGTCAGAGGTGAGGGGCTGGCAGCAAGAAGCGCTTGGCTAGTGGAAATAAAATTTCTTATGGGCGCTTCTCGGGCTCCTTTCAGAGCGATGCTCCCGGTCCCCGCGGCAGGAACGGGCGGGGGGGGTGTGAATGTGCAAAGAGAATGGGAAAGGGGCTGCCTTTCTTCGGGGGTGTCCCACCACTGCTCGAATTAATGCCTCTGTGGAGCTGGATGTGCTGGAGAGGGGGAACGGAACCAGCGGCAAACCCAACCCGGGGGTCCCAGCGGTGCGCGAGGGGAGGGGGCCACACCACCCAGCCAGCTCTGGGGCTCTTCCTCTAGAATTTTAAATACCCTAAAAAAAAAATTTTGGAATTAGAAGAAATGAGGAATGTTCTAAGTATTCAAAATGTGAGCTAGAAAACCTCCCGCGTGGCAGGGGCGTTGGGCGAACGCCGTCTGCAAGGTGCCTGCAAGCCCAGGACCATCCCGCTGTTGACACTGAGGTTGTTAAGACTCCAGCTAGAAGAACTCCTGACCCTAAGTGTTGAGATTTTAGTTCCTTTCCTTATCTTTTACGGAACACCTTCTATCCTGCAAGTGACTTCCTTTAAAGCCTGCCAACTAGATTAGTAAATAAACTGAACTCTAATGATGTAACCAAAGTCGGTTTCCTTCCCTTCTCCAGCGGCCACGTTTCGCAAGGTGGGTTTTAGCTTTTGGATCTGGTTCACGATGTCCATACGTCCTCCACAGCGAACACCACTTGAGGTAACAAGAGCAGTTCACCACTTAAAGCAGTCCTTCAGCAACCTCCTGAGCTGCCTCTTCACGGTCCAGGTTACACCATGGAGTTCCCGAAGGGGTGTTCCTCTCGCTCCTTCCCCCCGCTCCCCAATGCATTGTCCGGATGAAAAGGTACTTCTTCAGAATCAGTTTTGTTAAGTTCAAGCTCTCCTCCTGGGTCCAAAGAGGCCTTCCAGGACTTAAGTGGTTGGTAGAGTCTGCACAACGGATGGCTTTTTATGTTGCATAGTGATCAAAACTTCCCAGATACTCCAGCGCTGCCTGGTAACAGAACTGGTACTCGTCCTGCGGAGAGGAGAGAGATCCAGCCTCAGGGCTGGGAACAGCTCCCGCGTCCCTGCCCTGCTCCCCGCTGCACAAACGGGCAGGAACCAGGCACGGAGCCGCGACCTGCTGGGCAAGGAAATCCCTTCCCTTTACTGTCTGTGCCTCTCCTGGATCCCAGCATCCCAGCATGACCCCCCGGCTCCGCACCAGTCCGGGCGGCGTTTAGATGCAGGGATGGGGTCAGGATCAGGGCTGGCAGGCTGGGGTGAAATCTTTAAGGACTTTATAGCAATGGGATTTTTTTTTATTTATTATTAGTCAAGTAAAATCAGCCGCACAGCCTGGGCTTGCTTACTCTCAGGTTAAGGATGTGGTAGCTGTTAGAAAGGCAAAAGCTCAGCCCAGGCAGCCGTGGGACGGGGCTGCAGCCGTGGGGCTTTGCTGCTCCATCCTCCGAGGTGTGACGGGGACGGGGTCCCTGCTCCGCCTTACCTCCGTTTGCACCATCGCAGGTCGTTGTGTTCGCAGCATCTTTACGGTCTGGAAAATATCTACAACACCCTCGTAACGCATTCTTTCCAGGACGATACTCAATGTGATGAACACTCCAGTCCGGCCCACGCCAGCACTGCAGGAAGGGGAGAAAAAAAAAAAAGAAAATATACGTTAGACTGTTCAAATGCTGCTTTAAATGCTGAGGTTAGGGTATGGCCGAGCTGTGTCTTGGGAACATGTTAGAACTGGAGAGCCTCGGTCAGTCCTCCAGGAGGCAGGAAATGGTAAAACGGCCAGTGTGTGACCCAAAGAAATGTTTGGAAGTGAAATAAAAAAAAATAAATCAAAAGCTTTGGGTAGTGGTAAGCAGCACTCAGTGTGAATACTATTACTAATATATAACGTTGGGCTTTTTAAAATAAATAATGTGCAGAATGCATTCTCTCTCTTCTGCATCCTCAGATGAACTGGATGTTCCCGTTCGTGAACACCTACCTGCAGTGGACAGAGATGGGGCCATCCTGGCCAAACTGTTCCTTGGTCTTATGTACCTGGCCGATGAAATCAATAAACCCTTCTCCTGATTTTGGCACGCCTTGTTCCGGCCAGTCGGTGAACTGGAACTGGCGAACAGTTCGCGACTGCCCGTCCTGGGGGAGAAAAGAGTCGTATTTGTAACATCCCCTAGCTCTCGTGCTGAATACAAAAGGGGAAAAAAAACCCAAACCAACATTTTGTTGCTAGTTCATTAAGGGGCACAAAAAGTTGAACCAATTTTGTGTTGTCATCAAATGAACACAGTTATATTTTTTATATATAATGATGGTGAAGCTGCTGCTGTGTCCGGCCCCTGGCGGGTGTGCTGAGAGCTTCGACCACAGCAGAGGCGGCACAGATGGAGCCTTCAGCAAGGGAGCAGTCAAGGTGAGGTTACAGCCTCTCTATCCATCTTGACAAAGAGTTGCTGCTGTGTCAGAATTACAGCTGACAGGAAGATCAATCTTGTTCTACCACGACGGATGGCATCCTCCTCCTCCGCCTTGCAAACAGAGGTACCAGGTGCTACGCTCCCCGCAGCCCCAAAGGCTCAGGACTCTGAGAGCGAGGGATACAGCTGCTGAACAAACTCCAAAAGGTTCCTTCAGAGGAGAAATCTGACATTGAATCGGAGGTTATTTGAGTGAATGTGGAATAGGAGCAACAGCGGCTCCTCTTAGCGCCAGAGGAGAAACGGGCGGTTTCTGTCGGAGGAGCCCTTGGCCAGTCTGGGTTTCTGTTGGGTGTTTGGGGAGATCCCGTTTTCTGCTTTCATCTCAGATAAGCTCCAAGTAAAACCAAAAGCTTGGTACATCTCTAACGGTGGCTAGCGAGCAGAGGTTAGAAAACTGCTTTAAATCTGTAACAAGATCCATTCAAGTCCCATCTCTGTGTGTGTGTGTGTTCTGTTCCGTGTCACAACACCCTCTCCTCCACGGATGGTCAGCCCAGACTTGCACAGAGAAAGTCTTTACACCTCAATCTCTCTTATGGGAGCTAAAGTCCTTTTTTTTTTTTTTTTTTTTTTACTGTAAGCCCCCTTCCCTCTCGCATGGGTGTGAACCACTCCAGCCCCCCCCAGCTCTTACCCTGGCATCCGTGACCTTGAACTCCCGCAGGATGTACTGAGGCATGTTGTACTCGGCCATGGGATCGACGACGAAGTACTGGTACCGGGCAGAGCGCTCCGCTGGCCAGTACTGGTGGCACTTTTCCTGCCGGGGGGGGGAAGGAAGGTCACTGTTAGCCCTTGTGCTGCAGGATTCAGCCCCGTGCTTGTCCTTAGGGCACGCTTACCCGCCCCATCTCGCGAAGCTTCGTCAACATCACGACGATGGTGGAGTTGTTCTCCCATAGCATCCGCCAGAAATCTTCAGTGGTCTCCGCCAGCGGCCCTTGAGTGGCGATGTACGCCTTCTGCTGCCTGCAAGAGAGCCCAAACCCAAGGGGGGTGTCAAGGGGGGGGTTGGAGAATGGCTTGGGCAGAGCTTTGGGAAACGCACACCAAGGCTGGAGAGCAGGGGGAGAAATGGAAACGCTGGGGAAGGGCTAGGACAGCGCAAGGTCCAACGGGGTGGGAGGTGGCTTTGGTGCTAATGGTCAAAAAAAAAAAAAAATAAAAAAAAGAGCCAACGGTGAAGCTTTCTGTAAATACCATTTCCAAGGGGTAAATCTCAGCTACTCTAGTGTGATGCCCTGTATGGAAGAAGGTGAACATGTTGCATGTCAGATTCCTGGAACTAGAATCCGTATTTTCTGGGCAAGAATTCACCTGCCAGGCGTGGAGATACCCCAACCCAGCGCCACAAGCCAGCGCCAGGACTGCTGCACGTGCGGGGAGGCGAGGAAACGTGCACGGGGGGGGGTGGCTTTGTTCCCAAAGTTCGGGCTCAGCTTGAGATGGC